GCAACACAGATCACAGAATATGATGAACGAGAGAAATGAGATTTAAAAAACCTATTGAGATATGCAAGTTAAACTTTTGATCGAACTTTAACCGTTCAATTCTCATAAAAGACAAAAAAAAAATCTCTACATAAAAGAATTACAAATTACTGAAAATAATACAAGTATCACTTATTTTCCTAGAATAACTTAGAAGAAATAAAGTTCCATTTATTAAATTAAGAACACAACCAAAGAAGAATATTGAAAAAATAGTCGCGTATTAATCGTGATAAAATAGCGAGTTTGATACGTTGAATATATTGTTTTATTTACAGGCAAGATGTGTCAGATTTATTTATGCTAGAAATACAAAGATAATAAAAACTACTATATTACAAAAGATATTCAAAACCTTTTCTTTTTATTAAGCCAAGATAGTTATCAAGAAAGTTATAGCTTGCTAAAAGAAAAACAACTTTGATAATTACAAAAGAATTGATAACAAAACACAAGCATATTCAATATGATAATAACGAATAACGAATCATTAGCTTAAATCATTAGAAGAGAAGAGCGATAGATCAATATGAAAGGAAATATCTAGAAAAAAAAAAAAGATTACAACCTACTCTGTCTGAAACGATTTTCTGTTTCTTTGTTATCTATTGACTGTCTTTCAACTAATTACAACAATTCGTCACACTTAATGCGCGTACAATGCCTTGATAACACTATGGTACACTTAACGTACATGTTAGGTTCTGCGAATCTTGCTGCAAGAGCGCCATACTAAGTCTGCACAGACTGGTCTAACTTGTTACTCATTTGTTATATTTCTTTCATGAAAATGCTTTTAATCCTTTTACAAGCCTTTTCTACTATCAAACTTAACAATGTAAGATCGAAATTATTTTGCTCATTTCGTCTTATTCGAAGCAAAATTAAATTTTGAAATATTTTCAAACCATAATGACTATTTATTTGAATTAAAACTCGTCATCATAATAAGCCTTTTCTATATTTCTATTCTATTTCAAATGAAGTTGAAAAATGGAAAATTATCTGTGAATTTGGTTTAGAAAAAGATATTGACGTTTATCTTATCAGTATGAAAATTAATTATTAGACAAATCAGCTCAAAGTAGATAAAATGAAAAGAAAAAAATTATGACTAGAAATGAACATTTTGAGATCAGTTTAGAGATTAGAAAATCTTTTCATTGAACGAAGTAAATCATAATATGAAGTGAAACGAGTCGAGTTTTCTCATGACATAATTCTTTTTTTCATATCATATCATGAATCATGTATTTGTCTCTGTATATATCAACTCAATTCTAATAATCACTATTATTGGACAATTTAACAGTGAACAACATTGAATACACGTATTGATTGACTGACAGCCAGAGTTAACAGATAAATCAATACATAAGACAAAAGAGAGTCGAAAACACGATGCATTTTTTTAAAAATTAAAGATGTACGATTATTTAGGAGAAATATAATGAAAATATTGAAGTTCATTCGAAATCATATTTAATATTTTGCTGAAACTGGATAAATATTTGGGTTTTGAGTTATTTCAGACCAAAAAGTTTTCATACAAAAATAGAATTGATAAAAAAAACGTCTTAATAATGCAAAAAATATTCAGTAAGAACATCTTTGTTTTAAGAATATTGATAAAGATGATCGAACTTAGATGTAAAATTGCTACTTGTTTTCTATTTGAGATCAATATATTCAGTAATACCGAATTATATAGAATCGAAAAAACAAACAAACAAACAATTATTATTCTTATACTTATATTGTACGTTCTTTTTCCGTATGCTCACTAACTCATATATATTTTCTCTTTTTTCCTTGTGCCAAAAATTGAAATATGTATAGCTATGCGGGCATCAACACGACAAAAAAAAAGAAGAATCACTTTTTCATTTTATATTAGCCGGACAGTCGTTTTTCATTTCACTGTATTGACCGAGTGGGAATTTCGTTTTTTTTTTGTCGAATCAATATGACTTGTATGAGAAAGAAACGAATATGCTTGTTTTTTTCTCTAACATATATTGACGAACAGGTACAGCAATACTTGAATATTATACAACATAATACACTCTGGAATGATCTGTATGATTTTATTGTAGTTTTCGACTTTTTATTATGATTGAGATAGAAGACTTATGCAAATAAACAACAGGAAATTGTGTCTTTCCTCTATGTATAATTAAACTGATCATTCGTGGCTTACATCAAATTCACCATAATCTAACTCAAAAACTAAACCTTAGTGTGTTTTTACGAAAGAAAGTAATTAATTTTTTTGAATTTTTACTAATATTATCATTGAACTAGCGAATTGTAAAATATACATTGATTTTAATTAAATAAAATGATGTTATGAAATACAAAATGTAACAAGTATTTCAATTTAAAGTAAGAAATTCAAATCTGTCTCATAGACAAGACATCTCTCGATTTTGATGAATAATATATTCAATCATTTTGAAGAATTTATATGGTTCAGATAAAAGTAAAAAAAAAATTATTTTATGATATTATATCAAAAATATTTCATTTCTTCATTCTAGGAACTTTTTTCATCAAATGCACAAACATTCACAGAGTAAATATCTCTAATAAAGAACCAAAATTAGTGACTTATGTTGTTTAATTAATTCCACAGTTTTTCTAAAAGTTAAATCTTTAAAATGTGTTTCTTCAAGTATGATGAAGTTGAATTGTATATTCTGTCATTGTTTTCTATTCTTAGTGATAGAGTTCATCGATTTGCTATCATATCATATTAACAAGAAAATGTAAACTTGCCTGCATTTTCTGACATATTAGCCTTAAGCCACTGATAATATCTATAGTACAAAATGTATTAGAAAAAAGTTAGTATGTTTTTTTTCTTCTATCTACAACGTACAGTGTAGACTAACGGTGATTCTAACAACATAGATTACTAATTTCTCCTTTTTAATAGGAACATTTGTTGTTTCAAATGTTTTTAAAACAAAAATTTTCTTTCTTAAATAGAATAATTAAATGAAAAACTGTATTAATAAATTTATAAGATCTAGAATGTTGATTTTTTATATTTGTATAATGTTGACATAAATAAAACAAAATGATATGCTCATTTACCAAATGTTTCACTGAAATCTGAAGATCTTGATGGATTTTTATTTTAAAGAAATAATTTTCTAATTTAAGTAAAAAGTGTTTTAACACTAATTAGTAATATTCATGGAGTATTGAAAAATAGATATAATCTTTTTTGTTTTCATTTCTTGACTTAAATCATTCCGTTGATATTCAACAATGATGGAATCTGAAAAAAATAAAACATATAATTTATTTTTTCTTTTTAGATAAAATAATAAATAGAATGGAAATACTACCGAATGAAATTCTTCTTCATATCTTTTCTTATCTTGAATGGTTTGATATGTTAACATGTTTTTGGTCATTAAATATTCGTTTCAATTCTCTTGTGTGTTCAGCTCTTTCAATAAATGACAATTTATTAAAAACTGGTCTTCTTATTAAACAAGGTTTACCTTATAATAAATTTTCTTCAATATTATTTCCATTGATTTTAAATTCATCATTTCTTTCTTCTTCTATTCAACGTATTCATTTTGATGGAACAAATTCAATTTCTTGTGATATTAGTTATGAATTGTTGTTTAATGATAAAAAAAATTCTTCGTTTTCCTAATCTTAAATCACTTATTCTTACTCGATGTATATCAATTGAATCAGTAGTTCAAAGTTTATCTTATCTTATTGAACATCAAGTAGATGAACTTACATTAACATTTGATCAACAAGTGTTCAAACGGTCTTTTTATATAAACAAACATTCGTCAATGGCTTCTGATATGGGTAATCAATCGTTTATTTGACAGATTCTCTCAAAAAATAAAATGAGATTCATCTATCTTGAAGAAATTATCCTTGATTGAGACTATTTACATTTCATAAAAATCCATTCACCAAAAAATTTAGCGTAAAAATGTCGTTTTCGAATTCATCTAGTTAAAATTTTAGCTTCCAAAGAGAAAACACCACATTTATCTCTTCTACTTTCATACTCAATGAATGTCTGAGAAGAAATCAATGAAACACTTAATACATATTAGAATTACTTAGGAATAAATGTGCAAAGAATCTATTTATGTGGAAGGCAAATGGTGGTAGTCTGGGAGTCTCAGTTAAGAAGAAAAAGAAATCTTCTTAGAACTTATAATTAGTGACTTATATATATATTCTATCATAATAAATGTTTGTGTTTAAGAATATGTTGAAATCTATCACTATAATCGAATAATCAGACATCTTTAGAAAGATAGTCTTTTGCTACAAATTAAAAATTGACGTTATTATTTTGACAGAAAAAATCTTCCGAGATGATAAGTCACTTCTAAGATGAGTTGTCTCATCAAATAGGATCTATTGAGACAAGGAGAAATCTAAACTGATTCGTATTCATAATGCTTTATTGCTGAGTTATAACTCGAGATGTGTGGGACTGGATTAGAACCGAGACAACGAGAAAAAAGGTTGTTCGAATCAAAACTATAAATTGTAGTTATATGATCTGTGGTTTTGAGCGAATTATAATATAAATGATACCGATCAAAACAAAAGTTGAGAGAGCGGGCCAAAAAAAAAGGTGACATTCGTTGAGTGAATAGATGAAAGAACGAATATTTGAGAATTTTCTAGATTTGATACGAACAGATTCTGAAACAGTTTCCTTTACACTGGGACTAAGATCGGAACCGCAAGCTGAAAACTAAAATCGTCAAGATCGAATCCGGACTGGGACCAGACCAGATCAGATTTATCACGGCTATGACTAAGACTGTTGGGAAAGAAGTAACTTAGAGCGCAACTATCTATTCGATGAGACAAATCTCAGTTTAAAATTGGTTTATGACGTCGCGAGATTTGTTCACATGACATAAAAATTAGTATGAAAAATAAAACTATATAATTCTAAGAATTCATTATTTTCTTCCTATTAAAAAAAAACTCTTAGATATAAAAAACTAGTATGCAATTATAAATAAATCGTTTTTCGCTTTCAATCCTGTCTTATAGTTAATTCAAAAATTTTCCAATCATCTATTCATGTAAATGTCAATGAACTGATATATTTATTTAGTTGACTCAATAGAATTATATTAGAGTTTCTTTTATTATTTTTTCTATATTTATTCCTAACGTCCATTTCAGAGTTAAATGGCCATGACCATTTTTTGAATAACTTTTGATCAGCTAGGGCTATCGAGCTCGAGGTTGTGTAGTGGAAAAGAGTGGACTTCGTGACGTCTTTCTGTACAATTCATTTGAGTCCAAACTCACATTTTTACGTGTTTATGCGCCGATATGTTGTTTTCGTCTTTTTTCAACGAATTTTTTCGACATTCTAAGTCTCATTGTATCAAATTGTAGCCTGAATTCCGCTGCATAAACGGTAAAACTACCATACATCAAAATGACCTTGTTGAAGAAAAGAGATCAAAAAGAGGATATGAAGATGTCAAAATTTTACCATGTATACAGCGAAATTCAGGCTACAATTTGGTATAATACAGGTTAGAATGTCAAAAAATTCGTTGAAAAAACACGAAAACAGCATATCGACGTATAAATAGTTGTAAAAAAGTGACTGTGGACTCAAATGAATCGTACAGAAAGACGCCTCGAAGTCCACTCTTTCCAAATACATAACCTCGAGCTCGATAGCCCTAGACGATCACAAGTTATTCAAAAAATGGTCACAGCCACTTTACTCTGAAATGGACACTAATATTCGATATTTTGATCAATCAAAAAGAAACAATTTGGTAAATATGAGTTTTTCATTGTTAAATTTAAAATTAAAAACAACTAATTTTGATTAAAAACAAATATTTTCCTTCTAAACATTGTTTATAATTAAGTATAATTCAT